CCCCGCGTCCGGTCAGGTAGCAGCGTCGGGTCAGGTGTTTGCTGCTGCGTCCAGGTCTGGTCCTGAGTCTGCCCCCTGTACTTGTCGCCTCCTGTCTCACGAGACTCTCCTGTGGCACCACCGTCTTGGCCACCCCTCCTTGCCCCGTCTTCGGAGCATGGCTTCCCGTGTCCTTGTCTCTGGTCTTCCCCAGTCTCTCCCTCCTCTCCCCTTCGGGCCAGGACCTTCCTGTGTCCCTTGTGTCGAGGGTCGCCTCCGAGCTACTCCTCACTCCTCCCACTTCCCCCCGACAGAGGCTCCCCTGCAGACGCTTCACATGGATGTGTGGGGCCCAGCCCCCGTCCGTGGGCAGGGTTACGAGCGCTACTTCCTGTTGGTGGTTGACGACTACTCGCGTTACACCACAGTCTTCCCCTTGCGCAGCAAGGGTGAGGTCACTGTGGTGCTGATCGACTGGATCCGCGAGGCTCGTCTCCAGCTCAGGAAGAGCTTCGGCTCGGACTTTCCTGTTCTGCGTCTGCACTCTGACAGAGGCGGAGAGTTCTCTTCCCGCCTTCTGCGAGACTACTGTCGTGCACGGGGGATCCGCCAGACCTTCACGCTTCCGGACTCACCACAGCAAAATGGGATTGCTGAGCGCCGCATTGGCATGGTCATGGATGTCGCTCGTACGTCCATGATGCATGCGGCTGCCCCCCATTTTCTGTGGCCGTTTGCGGTGAGGTACGCGGCGCATCAGCTCAACCTTCACCCCCGGGTCTCTCGGCCTGCGATGTCCCCAGTCTTGCTGTGGACGGGGAAGGTTGGCGATGCGTCTGTGTTCCGTGTCTGGGGATCTCGGGCGTTTGTCCGCGACTTGTCTGCGGACAAGCTGTCCCCTCGTGCTGCTCCCTGTGTCTTCCTTGGCTTCCCCACTGACGCCCCAGGGTGGCAGTTTTACCACCCCTCCTCTCGTCGTGTTCTGTCCTCCCAGGACGTCACGTTCGATGAGTCAGTCCCCTTTTAACGTCTCTTCCCCTACCGCACTCCTTCCCTCCCCCCTCCCCCGGACTTCCTTGTGCCGGTTCCCCCCCCGGTAGACCCCCTCCCCCCTCAGGTTCCTGCCCCCTCAGGTGTGTCCCAGGTAGACGCCGTTGACCCGGTCGAGGTTACTGGTGACTCTGGTGCTGCTGCGGGTGCTGAGCCTGGGGGTGCTGACTCTGGGGGTACTGTGCGCGGGGGTGCTGAGCCTGGGGGTGCTACTGCTGGGGGTGCTGGGCCTGAGGGTGCTACTGCGGTGGGTGCGGAGCCTGGGGGTGCTGAGCCGGGGGGTGCTGTGCCTGGAGGTACTGGGTCTGGGGGTGCTAGGTCGGGAGCTGCTGAGCCTGGGGGTGCTGAGCTGGGAGCTGCTGAGCCTGGGGGTGCTGCGTCTGGAGCTGCTGAACCTGGGGTTTCTCCTGCTGCTGCGTCTCGCCGGGAGCCCCTCTCTCCACAGGAGCTACGCGAGTGGTACGCTCGCCGCTGCAGGCGTGCTGCTGAGTCTGGAGGTGCTGCTGGAGCTGGAGCTGGAGCTTCTTCGACCGTCGAGGGTGCGGGTGCTGCCGGTCCTGGAGGTGCTGGACCTGCGGGTCCTCCAGGAGCTGGAGGTGCTGTGGGCGTTGGTGCTGAGCCTACTGCTGTTGGTCCTGCCGCTGGAGGTGTGGGTGGCGCTGGTGCGGTCGCTGAGGGTGCTGGTGCTGTCCCTGCTGCGTCTGGAGCTGCTGAGCCTGGGGTTTCTCCTGCTGCTGCGTCTCGCCGGGAGCCCCTCTTTCCACAGGAGCTGCGCGAGTGGTACGCTCGCCGCTGGAGGCGTGCTGCTGAGTCTGGAGGTGCTGCTGGAGCTGGAGCTGGAGCTTCTTCGACCGTCGAGGGTGCGGGTGCTGCCGGTCCCGGAGCTGCTGGACCTGAGGGTCCTCCTGCAGCTGGAGGTGCTGAGGGCGTTGGTGCTGAGCCTACTGCTGTTGGTCCTGCCGCTGGAGGTGTGGGTGGCGCTGGTGCTGTCGCTGAGGGTGCTGGTGCTGTCCCTGCTGAGTCTGGAGCTGCCGCGCGGCCTCGGCCGTACTTCGTTCCGCTCCTACAGCAGGTTCTTGGTCTTTCTCCTTCGGTAGAGTGTCCACAGCCTGTCCAGTCGCAGTCACTGTTGGAGCCTTCCTCTCCTCTGCCTGCTCCCTCTCCTTACACTGGTCCTACTGGAGGTCTTGCTGAGCGTCGTGAGCCTGCGTCTCGTCCCGCGTCGCCTGTTCGTGCTGCTCGCGCTAGTGGTCGCGGTTCGCGTCAGCGTCCTCCTCCTGTCCCTGGCAGGCACCGGATGTCTCTGCGTCCGTCCACTGCTCCTCTGCGTGCCCCTCTGCCTTCTCCTCCTGAGTCCTCTCTTCCTGCGCTTGCCGACCCTGAGTCAGACTCTCTTCGCGCTGCCAGTCCTACTGTCACGCGTCTGCTTGCTACTGTCGTCACTGACCCCTCTTTTGAGTCCACTGCTGCGTCTGCTCTAGTCGCTGAGCTCGTTGACTTTGCTGCTCGCTGTCGTCTCGACTACGCTGCTGGTCTTGTTGCTGAGTCTGCGTCTGTCTGTCCTCTGTCCGTCGGGGGTGAGTGTGCTCTTGGCACGTACGTCCTAGAGGACAGACAGGAGGAGTTACAGTGTCTAGCGGCTGCTTCACCTCATCTCGCGTCTGTACTACTTGCCCCTGAGGGAGACCCGGATGCATTAGACATCCCGACTCCGCGTTCTTACGCGGAGGCCGTAGAGGGTCCCTACTCCTCTCAGTGGCAGGCAGCTATGGATGCAGAGATGGCTTCCTGGAAGTCCACAGGCACCTACGTTGACGCAGTTCCCCCTCCTGGGGCGAACATCGTCAGTGGCATGTGGATCTTCCGGGTGAAGCGGCCGCCGGGCTCTCCACCTGTCTTCAAGGCGCGGTACGTTGCTCGTGGCTTCAGTCAGCGGCAGGGAGTTGACTACTTTCAGACCTTCTCTCCCACCCCGAAGATGACCACTCTTCGGGTGCTGCTGCACATAGCCGCTCAGCGCGACTACGAGCTTCACTCTCTTGACTTCAGCACTGCGTTCCTGCAGGGTAGCCTGCACGAGGAGATCTGGCTGCGCCGTCCACCTGGCTTCACTGGGACTTTCCCTCCTGGCACCCAGTGGAGCCTCAGACGGCCAGTCTACGGTCTCCGCCAGGCACCGCGTGAGTGGCACGACACACTGAGGACTACGCTTGCGGCTCTTGGGTTTGCTCCTTCTACTGCTGACCCGTCGCTGTTTCTGCGCACCGACACCTCGCTGCCGCCGTTCTACATCCTCGTGTACGTCGACGACTTGGTCTTTGCCACAGCGGACACTGCTGGACTCGCCTACGTGAAGTCCGAGCTGCTGAAGAGACACACGTGCACAGACCTGGGTGAACTGCGCAGCTACCTTGGCTTGCAGATCACTCGGGACAGAGCACGCCGCACCATTACCTTGACTCAGTCACACATGGTGCAGCAGGTCCTTCAGCGCTTCGGCTTCACGTACTCCTCGCCTCAGGCCACTCCTCTACCTACTCGCCACTCACTCTCAGCTCTGCCTTCGGATGAGTCCGTAGAGTCGAGTGGTCCGTATGCAGAGCTTGTTGGTTGCCTCATGTACTTGATGACCTGCACACGACCTGACCTTGCATACCCTCTGAGCATTCTTGCACGCTATGTTGCTCCTGGGAGACACAGACCGGAGCACATGGCTGCAGCGAAGAGGGTATTGCGCTACCTGTGCAGCACGTCGGGCATGGGGCTAGTGCTTGGAGGGCGGAGTCCAGTGGTCCTTACCGGCCACGCGGACGCTTCTTGGGCTGACGACCAGGCTACGCAGCGGTCGTCACAGGGTTACACCTTCAGCCTTGGTTCCGGCTCTGTCTCGTGGCGGTCTACTCGCTCGTCTTCGGTTCTCGGCTCCAGTTGTGAGGCTGAGATCTACGCCGGGGCCATGGCTGCACAGGAGCTTCGCTGGCTCACCTACCTGCTGACTGACCTTGGAGAGCCGCCTCGTTCTCCTCCAGTGCTGTACGTAGACAACAAGGCTATGCTGGCCTTGTGTCGAGAGCAGCGCTTGGAGCACAGAACGAAGCACATTGCTCTCCGCTACTTCCTTGCTCGTGAGCTGCAGCAGCGTGGTCAGTTGCGACTTGCGTACGTGGCCTCTGAGGCCAACACTGCTGATGTGTTCACCAAGGCACTCGCGCCTTGTGACCATCAGCGCTTTTGCACCCAGCTGGGTCTTGTGCCTGTCTTGCCTCACTTGCTCTCCTCTTGACTTCACTTGTACTGAGACATATATATATGCCTGCTCTTGTTTGTCTAGTTTTATATATATGTCTGTACTCCTGCATATGAACTGGCCTCTGGCCCTACTCTTGTGCTCGGACTGTGTGGTGACTTTGTGATCCACCCTGAGCTTGCTTTGCTTTGCTTGACTGGTCTTGTGACCCCTTGTTCTCCCCCACTTTGCCTATGGGGGTGTGTCAGATTTATATGACATAGTTGTTGTAGGCTATAGTGGGGTAGCACATATGGGGTACAGGGTTTCTAGGGTTGTATTTGTACCCATCTTTCCTTAGTCATTTTCATCCCTGTTCGTTTATTCTCACAAACGGGTCCCGCCGCCCGTCTGCTGCGGCCTCGCCGCTCTCCCCTCCTGCAGCAATGCGCCCGAGCCGCAGACCGCTGCGCCGCCCTGTACCAGAGGAGCCGAGCCGCCCAGCCGTCGAGCCGCCCGGCCCCCCCACCAGCCGAGCCGCCGTGCAGCCGAGCCGCCCAGCCGCCGAGCTGCCGAGCAGCCAAGCCGCCTCGCAGCCAAGCCGCTGAGCCGCCCAGCAGCCGAGCCGCCTAGCCACCGAGCCGCCCTACAGTTGAGCCGCCCGAGCAGCCCTGTCCGGTGAGCACAGCCTCTGTGTCATTGCGTGCCCTTCCCCTACTGCTTGCACTACTAGTCTACCATCGTCATGGCTACCCCTAGTGTCCTCGCTTTTGATGCTGAGGGTCGAGCCATTGACTTTGAGGTCTTGGTCGACGACTTGCAGCTGTTCTTACAGTGCGATAGGGCGGACGGTCTTTCTCTCTTTGACCTCACCTCTGGCGCCTCTTCTGCATCTGCTGCTGTTGCTGATCCCACTATTCGCTCTCAGTGGGCCACCCGCGATACTGCTGCACGTCTTGCTGTGCGTCGCAACCTGCCTACCACTGAGCGCGCGCACTTTAGTCAGTACAAGTGTGCTCAGACCTTGTACGACGCTGTAGTTGCGCGCTACTCTTCCCCTGCCACTGCTGCACTGAGCCGCCTCATGCTACCGTACCTCTTCCCTGACCTTGCTGCACTTCCCACAGTTGCTGACCTCATTACGCACCTCCGCACTAGTGACACTTGCTACCGCGCCGCGCTGCTTGTGCCAAGAACCCCCCCCCCCATGTACATCACTCTCTATTACATAGTCACCCGCCTCCCTGACTCCCTTCGCGTAGTCACGGACCACTTTCTCTCAGTCTGTCCCACCACTCTCACTGTTGACCTCCTAGAGAAGGCCCTCCTAGTAGCGGAGAAGAGCATAGTCGCTATAGGAGCCTCTCGTGGTGACCCTCGCACCCCCATCTTTGAGGGGTGTTCCCCTTCCCCCCTGTTGCCCTCTATCACCTCTCCTATTGCGGCCGACCTACTTGGTCTTGAGTCGGTCGGTGCGGCGTCTGCCCCTAGCGGGAGACGCCGCTCTTGCAAGGGCAAGGGGGGCAAGGGCGCGGGTGGATCTAGCGGGGGTGGTGGAGGTGGCGGTGGAGGCGGCGGAGGGAGTGGGGGTGGCGGTGGGAGTGGTGCCGGCGGTGGAGGTGGAGGTGGCAGTGGCAGCGGCGAAGGCGGAGGCGGCGGTGGCGGTAGCGGTGGGAGCGGAGGCGGCGGTGGCGGCGGAGGTGGAGGCGGCAGTGGTGGAGGAGGTGGAGCTGGTCGAGGTGGTACTTCTCAGCGGAGCGACTCCGGGAGTGGTCAGCGCCAGCAGCAGCAGCAGCAAGAGCAGCGTTCTCGGAACATCCCCCCTCCTCAGCAGCTCCGTGAGTGGTTCACGCAGCATCAGCGTGGTGGGGGTTTTGGCCCGTGCACCTACGTCCTCCGCTCCGGCGACCGCACGGGTGAGCAGTGTGGGGGTGCCCACCCCACCCAGCGCTGCTTTGGCCGCCTGACAGACGCTTGGCGTCAGCAGTTCCCGGAGGCTAGTGAGATCCCCAGCTGGGGAGAGCTGTCTAGGGCAGGCGTAGCTGTCTTTGATCTTGACTTTGCTGCTATCCTTGCTGCCATGTATGCTGTGACTATTAGTGATAAGGGTGACTGTTACCGGTGTTTCCCGCCCGAACCGGGCATTGGTACTGCTGCTCTAGGTACTGGTGAGGCTGCTGCTCTAGGTGCCAGTGCGTCAGCGCACTCAGGTGCTGGTGAGTCTGCGCTCTCAGGTACCACGTCGGCTTCGGCCTCCCTCACCTTCACACTTGACTCAGGGGCTTCTCGCTCCTTCTTTCAAGACCGCACCACACTCACGCCGCTTGGTCGGCCAGTTGCAGTCTCCCTGGCAGACCCCTCTTGGGGTCCTGTCCTATCTCACTTCTCCACTGTCCTCCCGTGTCCGGCTGCCCCCTCTGGCACCTTGTCTGGTCTTTACCTCCCCTCATTCTCTACAAAGTTGGTGAGTGCTGCTGACCTGCAGGATACGGGGGTTCACCAGTTCACTCCTCCGAGTCAGCGGGTGACCCACTGCACGGACGCTCGGACAGGCCGACCCCTGGCCACGTTTACACGTCGGCCGGGGTCGAGCCTGTACACACTGACCACTGAGTCTTCTCCAGTCACTGCGTCTGGTCAGGTAGCTACGTCGGGTCAGGTGTTTGCTCTAGCGTCTAGGTCTGGTCCTGAGTCTGCCCCCTGCTCGTGTCGCCTCCTGTCTCACAAGACTCTCCTCTGGCACCACCGTCTTGGTCACCCCTCCCTGCCTCGTCTCCGAGGCATGGCATCCCGTGTCCTTGTCTCTGGTTTTCACTCTCTCCACAGGAGCTGCGCGAATGGTTTGCCCGGCGCTGGAGGCGTACTACTAGAGCTGGTGCTTCTTCGGATGCTGAGGGTGCTGGTGCCGTCGGTCTCGGAGGTGCTAGTCCTACGAGTGCTACTGGAGTCTGAGCTGCTGAGGGTGTTGGCGCTGAGGCTATATCTGTCAGTCCTGGCGGCGGTCCTACTGCGGGTGCTAGTGGTGCTGCTGAAGGTACTGGAGCAGGAGGTGCTGTTAACGCTGGCGCTGCCGCTGGGGGTGCTGGTGCTGTCCATGCTGTGTCGGGAGTCGCCGCGCGGCCTCGGCCGTACTTTGTTCCGCTCCTTCAGCAGGTTCTTGGTCTTCCTCCTCCCTTAGAGTGTCCACTGCCTGTCCAGTCGCAGTCACAGTTACCGCCGCCCTCCCCACTGCCTTCTCCTTCTCCGTACACTGGTCCTACTGGAGGTCTTGCTGAGCGTCGTGAGCCTGCGTCTCCTCCTGCGTTGCTTGTTCGTGCTGCTCGCACTAGTGGTCGCAGTTCGCGTCAGCATCCTCCTCCTATCCCTTGCACGCACCGAATGTCTCTTCGTTCGTCCAATGCTCCTCTGCGTGCCCCTTTGCCCTCTCCTCCTGAGTCCTCTCTTCCTATGCTTGTCGACCCTGAGTCGGACTATCTTCGTGCTGCCAGTCCTACCGTCACGCGTCTCCTTGCTACTATCGTCACTGACCCCTCCTTTGAGTCCACTGTTGCGTCTGCTCTTGTTGCTGAACTCGTCGACTTTGCTGCTCGCTGTCGTCTAGACTACGCTGCTAGCCTTGTTGCTGAGTCTGCGTCTGTCTGTCCTCCGTCCGTCGGGGGTAAGTGTGCTCTTGGCACGGACGTCCTTGAGGACAGGTGGGAGGTGTTCCAGTGTCTGGCTGCTGCTTCACCTCATCTCGCGTCCGTACTGCTTACCCCTGAGGGAGACCCGGATGCACTAGACATCCCGACTCCGCACTCTTACGCGGAGGTCGTAGAGGGTCCCTACTCCTCTCAGTGGCAGGCAGCTATGGATGCAGAGATGGCTTCCTGGAAGTCCACAGGCACCTACGTTGACGCGGTTCCCCCACCTGGGGCGAACATCGTCAGTGGCATTGTGATCTTCAGGGTGAAGCGGCCGCCGGGCTCTCCACCTTTCTTCAAAGCGCGGTACGTGGCTCGTGGCTTCAGTCAGCGGCAGAGAGTTGACTACTTCTAAACCTTCTCTCCCACCCCAAAGATGACCACTCTTTGGGTGCTGCTACACGTAGCCGCTCAGCGTGACTACGAGCTTCACTCCCTTGACTTCAGCACTGCTTTCCTGCAGGGTAGCCTGCACGAGGAGATCTGGTTGCGCCGCCCACCTGGCTTCACTGGGACTTTCCCTCCTGGCACCCAGTGGAGCCTCCGACGGCCAGTCTACAGTCTCCGCCAGGCACCGCGCGAGTGGCACGACACACTGAGGACTACACTTGCGGCTCTTGGGTTTGCTCCCTCTACTGCTGACCCGTCGCTGTTTCTACGCACCGACACCTCTCTGCCGCCATTCTACATCCTCGTATAACTTGACGACTTGGTCTTTGCCACACCTTACACTGCTAGACTCGCCCACGTGAAGTCTGAGCTGCAGAAGAGACACACGTGCACAGACCTGGGTGCACTGCGCAGCTACCTTGGCTTGCAGATCACCCGGGACAGAGCACGCCGCACCATTACCCTGACTCAGTCACACATGGTGCAACAGGTCATTCAGTGCTTCGGCTTCACGTACTCCTCGCCTCAGGCCACTCCTCTACCTACTCGCCACTCGCTCTGAGCTCTGCCTTTGGATGAGTCCGTAGAGTCAAGTGGCCCGTACCCAGAGCTTGTTGGCTGCCTCATGTAACTGATGACCTGCACACGACCTGACCTTGCATACCCTCTTAGCATTCTTGCATGCTATGTTGCTCCTGGGAGACACAGACCAGAGCACATGGCTGCAGCGAAGAGGGTGTTGCGCTACTTGTGCAGTACGTCGAGCATGGGGCTAGTGCTTGGAGGGCAGAGTCCAGTGGTCCTCACTGGGCACGCGAACGCTTCTTGGGCAGACGACCAGGCTACGCAGCGGTCGTCACAGGGTTACACCTTCAGCCTTGGTTCTGGCTCTATTTCGTGGCGGGCTACTCGCTCATCTTCTGTTCTCAGCTCCAGTTGTGAGGCGAAGATCTACGCCGGGGCCATGGCTGCAAAGGAGCTTCGCTGGCTTACCTACCTGCTGACTGACCTTGGAGAGCCGCCTCGTTCTCCTCCAGTGCTGTACATAGACAACAAGACCATGCTAGCCTTGTGTCGGGAGCAGAGCCCGGAGCACAGAACGAAGCACATTGCTCTCTTGTACTTTCTTGCTCGTGAGTTGAAGCAGCGTGGTCAGTTGCGACTTGCGTACGTGGCCTCTGAGGCCAACACTGCTGATGTTTTCACCAAGGCACGTGCGCCTTGTGATCATCAGCGCTTCTGCACTCAGCTGGGTCTTGTGCCTGTCTTGCCTCACTTGCTCACCCCTTGACCTTGCTTGTACTCTTACATATATATATGCCTGCTCTTGCTTGTTTAGCCTTATATATATATGTATACTCCTGCATGTGAACTGGCCTTATGGCCTTTACCTTGTGCTCGGACTGTGTGGTGAAGTTGTGATCCACCGTGAGCTTTGTTTGCTTTGCCTGACTGGTCTTGTGACCCCTTGTTCTCCCCCATTTCGCCTATGGGGGTGTGTCAAATTATAATATTGTGTAGGCTATAGTGGGGTAGCCCTTATTGGGTACACATTTCTAGGGTTGCATATTTGTATTACTTCCATTCCTTAGTCATTCATTCTCATTCTCATTTTCTCAGTGCCGGGGCTGGGAAGGGTAGCGCCGGGGCCGCAGGGTAGGCGACGGGGCCAGTAGAGGCGGCGCTGGGGCCGGGAAGGGCGGCGCTGGGGCCGCAGGGGTAGGCGACGGGGCTTGCAAAGGCGGCGTCGGGGCCGGGAAGGGCGGCGCCGGGGCCTAGAAGGGCAGCGCCGGGGCCGCAGAGTAGGCGACGGGGTCAGCAGAGGCGGCGCTGGGGCTGGGAAGGGCGACGCCGGGGCCGGGAAGGGCAGCGCCAGGGCCGCAGGGGTAGGCAACTGGGTCGCTAGGGCGGCTAGGAGGGGCGGCTTGAAGAGGCCGCAAGGGCGGCACGAAAGGGCCGCGAGGGCGGCGCGAACGGGCCGCGAGGGCGGCGCGACGCGACAGAGCCGCGAGGGCGGCGGATCGGGGCCGCGAGGGCGGCGCGACGTGACGGGGCCGCGAGGGCGACGCGACGGGGCCGCAAGCGCGACGCGACGGGGCCGCTCAGGCGGCGCGATAGGGTCGAAAGAGGGGAGCGCGACTTGGGCAGAGTAGAGCGCGCTCCGGGCAGGAAAAATAAGGTGGTGGGCTCTAGGAACAGTTCCCACAGGGGAACCTGCTCGATACCATGAGAAAATGAACGAGAATGAATTGACTAAGGGAAAGTTAGGTACAAGTACAAACCCTAGAAAGACGTACCCCATATGTGCTACCCCACTATAGCCTACAACAGCTATGTCGTATAAATCTGACATCCGTGTTTCCTCCAAAATCGCCAGAGGCGTCCCATCCACGAGGCAAGCGTCAATTTTGGGCAGGCACTTGTCAAGTTGCAGCTTGCTTTTTTCTGCTGTCGCCAAATTGAAGAGGCTATGGCTGGCCCCTCCGTCGACGAACATTTTCAAGCTATTTGTAACATTTTGCCAGCGACCAGCACTGGGTGATCCACATGGTTGTCCCCGTTATTAGGCCGGGTGCGATCGATTGCATGAACTGGAACCACGACTCGATGGGGATAGTGGGGTTCGGGCGACTTAGTAAGGGGCCCGTTAATTACTGACTCTTCCCATTTCCCTACTCCGTTACGTCGTCCCCCTTCACCGGCGTTTTCTCGGGGCAGTCACTCATGTAGTGACCCGTCTTTCCACACCGGTAGCACGTCCCTTTAAAGGGGCGCCGAGATGTATGGACTATGTTGATTGTGGCCCGCTGGGTCTGGCCACAAAAACAGATTCTCTCATGAGAAATCGTTCTTGCATACTGCATGAGCGTGTCTTGTGAAACTATGAGCAGAGGAATGAATTGACTAAGTCAGAGTTGGGTACAAATACAACCCTAGCAAACTGTACCCCATATGTGCTACCCCACTATAGCCTACAAACATGCATCAGCTATAATAATCTGACACACCCCCATAGGCAAAGTGGGGGAGAACAAGGGGTCACAAGACCAGTCAAGCAAAGCAAAACAAGCTCAGGGTGGATCACAAAGTCACCACACAGTCCGAGCACAAGAGCAAGGCCAGAGGCCAGTTCACATGCAGGAGTAAAGACATATATATAAAACTAGACAAGCAAGAGCAGGTATATATATGTCAAAGTACAAGTAAAGTCAAGAAGAGAGCAAGTGAGGCAAGACAGGTACAAGACCCAGCTGGGTACAAAAGCGCTGATGGTCGCAAGGCGCAAGTGCCTTGGTGAACACATCAGCAGTGTTGGCCTCAGAGGCCACGTAAGCAAGTCGCAACTGACCACGCTGCTGCAGCTCACGAGCAAGGAAGTAGCGGAGAGCAATGTGCTTCGTTCTGTGCTCCAAGCGCTGCTCTCGACACAAGGCCAACATGGCCTTGTTGTCTACGTACAGCACTGGAGGAGAACGAGGCAGCTCTCCAAGGTCAGTCAGCAGGTAGGTGAGCCAGCGAAGCTCCTGTGCAGCCATGGCCCCGGCGTAGATCTCAGCCTCACAACTGGAGCCGAGAACCGAAGACGAGCGAGTAGACCGCCACGAG